AGTTCGCAGGACGACACCGCGCATTTCTTTTTCAAGCGATGAAAATGAAAATGCACGAGTTTCATTTCTGAGAAATTGAACGATCGTGCTCTTCTTCACGTGATTTTCATTCCTCAAGATGCGGTCCACGTGTGGAGCGGTCGTGCACGCGCATGGCTCGGAATAGAAAAGGTCTTAACTCAACGAAAAATGGACCAAAATGGATGAAATTTGTTGGAAAGAATACTCTTTAGGATATGTGATGATCGAATGATACCAACACGATAAACAAACAACAAACAACAACCAGAAAATGAAATAATTGAGGCTGACAGTTCATGTGAATTCTTTAACAACCGACTGACAAGAACAAGGAAAGGAAAGAATAACTTCAGGCTCATGGTTAGATGGAGAAGCCTTGGTTCAAAGAACGATCAACGACTATTTGAAAAAAAAATAAAAAAAAGTTTTATGCATATTATATATATATATATATATTATAATTTCATCAAATTATTAATAAGCATTCAAGGAAGGAAATGTGATGGCTGAGAAATCAATGATAGATGAGTTACTCACGAAATCATAAATACTTATCAAATGAAATGGTATCCCGTGCAAATGATGGAGAAATAAGAAAGACAATCATATGAAATGCCATGTAAAACAATACAATGTAAGAGAGGTACACACCGTGAATCTGTCAAGGACATAACGTTAAGAATGTTGAGCATTTCACGAACTAATGGTGAAAACAAAGGAATGTGTTCAGTTCATAACTGATTTGTAGCCTAATCGATAATCCACTAATATCGTGCGGCGCCATATGAGAATCTCTGAAATCGATATCGATTGATTGTGAATCTATGAGGTTGTTGTACAAACCGTTGGGTTATTGTTATAGTTATTACTATTACTAATATTATTATGGTTAATATAATGACTATGACTGTTAAATGGTGGACTAGGACGATTAGATGGTCCATTGCTACTTGAAGAAGAAGCTGCTGAGAGGTTTTGTTGTAAATTCCAATAAGAACCATAAAGAGAAATCCGTCCCGACTACAAATCCCATTAGTGTATGTTAGTTTCCCAAGTTTCAACTGATTTTCATACCTGATTATAACCATTCATTTCTCCACTCAATCTCGCGGACTTATCGACATTCTCATCGTAGCTTCCTTCCAAGTGCTTTGACCCTCTCTGTAAATTCAGTCAGAACTCATGATTGGACCTAGTTTCCAAAACGACTAACCTTAATAGCATAAGCCGTTGGTCGAACCCCATAAGTAGGTCCATACATGGCTCTGAGGTGAGCTGAAGAGCTTCTAAAATGTATTGTTGAAAAGTCTGAACAGCAGTTGAAGACAAACCTCCTCCGGCAACAAACTACTAGGGCAATTATAATTAATAAAATGACCCAAACAGCAACAATTCCAGTTGGGATGATGATTGCCAATTCTTAACAAAGAGCAATGCTTATAGGTCTTTGTTTATTGAACTCACTACTGTTGTCAGCAACAGAATGAGCTTGATCATTTGCTGTTGGTCTTCCTGTTACGATAACAGGCTTGTTCCTTGGTGTAGCTATTGTGGTAGCCTATAAAAGGAATTTGAATGAGACATATTGAGAAGAGAGAGTTCTGTTATAGGTATTATACTGACTGGTTTACGTGTTGTTGAGGAAGTGAAGATGAATATAGGTGGGTGTGAAATGGGTTTGGTTGCTTCTGCTCCTGTTGTTTTTGCAAGAACATCAACAGTGTGCGGATTAGTTAAAGATGTTTTGGTCATTTCGACAGGGATTGAGTTAGTTATGATCTATAAAGTTAGTTAGATCAATGATCTTACTCAGACACTTACCGGATTGCTCTCAGAAGTTCCTTCTGGACTGGTCACTTCTTCAGAATCTAGCTCAATCTCCTTCACAGAGAACATGCGTGGTTTTTCAGCAGATGCAGCTGTAGCCACTTTTTCTGTGAACAACGTATTGGCAGTTTCTGTTTCATCATTCAGAGAGAATGTAGGGAATGTAGGCTCTTGAGTTGGAGGTGCTGTAGAGGTAGACTGTACAGATGTCTGGAAAGTGATGTCAGGAAGGCAAATAGAGCGATCCTTACTTGTGAAAAGTTGAAATCAGGAAGTTTCTTTTTATTTCCATTGAAGATCTCAGGAACAATAGTCATCACTGGAGGGAAAGTGGTTCTAGCGGGTTCTGTTTGGAAAACGTCTTCGTCTATGTTGAAATCTTCTTGCGCTATAGAAACTAGAGGTCTGCAAATCATGTAGGAGTTAAGTAAATTCCAATTGTAAATCATACCGGTGAGAGGTACTGATGAATTGGGGTCGGGGTCTATGTGTGGTGCCTGATTCTTTCAGAGACTCAGATGCTTGCACTAATGATGGGACAATTTTTCTAGGACTATTTTCGAATGTTGGAGTGATGAATCTTGGAGCTCCGATCTGAGAAATATAGTCAATGAACAGCAGAGTTTAATTTATTCCATACCGGGATAGGTGGGATTACGAGATTCTCGGATTTGGCATTCAAATTCTTTTGCACTTCACTTTTTTGGATAGTCCTGACAGATTCAACACTGGAATCTTTCTCACGGTCACAATAAGGTGGTAGCATTTTTTCAGACGGACATGGTTGTATGAAGGGTTCATCTGAATAGGATGGAAATAAAGGAGAAAACTTTGAAAGGACAAACCGATTTCATAGATCCAAACTCCGGGTTGGTTCACATTTGACAATTGAGAAAGTTGTTGGAGTCCTTCTGTGCCTGAGCCAGGTAGAGACAGAGAAGTGGAAGCATCATTTGTTATTATACCAGCCTTGAAACCGATGTCATAATTATGTCAGACTAAGAAGGATACATACCTCTGCAGAGTCAGACCACATCATATTCTCATAGAGGAACTGTACATATGTTACTTGACTCTTCTTATCATTGCTACCACCAATAAGAACGGTTTGGAAAGTGTTTCCCAACTGAATAATATACGAATTAGGATATACAAACAGGTTATACTAACAAGCTGATTTCCCCCAGTAATGTTTTCATAGGTAATTACTAATGCGCTACGAGCAACAAATGAATTGTCCTTGAAGTTGTCAATGACAGAACGTGACGTACGACTAAGAACATGCGAGTCTGAATGATGTTTCATATATGATTTCAGAATTGATGATATTTACCCGTGACTTCAGATACAGTTATACTTCCTCCTTTGGATATATCAATTGGGGCATAGAAAGGGGCCAAAACACTCATATTCAAAGAGGATAAATGTTTTGATGTCAAAGGTCCGAGATCTGACAATGAAATAACGCCGGATGTAGATATCTAGATAATGAAAATGCATGAAGATGTTTTGAAGTAGAACAAACCGTTAGTTTATCTTTAACATCTCCTAATAGCTTGAGCGGATTCTTGAGTTGCCAACTAACTTTGGCATTTTTGCTTGTTGGAAGAGATTGATGGCCATGATTTGAATATAAAAATTCCTTCTTACATTCAATTTTTCCATCACCTATACAAAAAAGATTGTTGTCTGAATCGAGAACCCAATCAATACCTGAATAACCCTTTTTACATTGACAAAAATATCTTCCAGGTGTGTTGGTACATATGGCATCTGCATGGCAAATGTTTGCTTTCTGGCATTCATCAATATCTGAGAAATTGTCTTTTGAAGATTTATCTCATGAACATGATACTTACCTTTACACGATTTATGTCCATCCCCAGAGAATCCCTCTAAACATCCACATCTTTGAACAGGCTCGCCACATCTATCGTAGTCGGTAAACATGATAGCATTAGGTGCGCATTGAATATTTGAGCTGCGTCTATCACATTCTTTCGATTCTAAACCACAGTTACATATACTTTTCAAAAAATAGTAATTACTTGTTTGACAGTTCTTTCCAGTCCAGCATTGATGGCAACCTCGGGCGCATTCTCCTGTCACTGGATGACAATTACCTTGACTACAATGACAACACTGAGCGCAATCAGCTCCCCACTCGCCAGCAGCACATTCTAATAAAGACTTTTCTCAACTCTCGAATATTCATTGAACTGAACCTTCATCACATGTCTTTCCTTTGATACCGAGCTTGCATCTGTGGATAGTCTTGTCGCTCATTTCGAACATCCACTCTCCAGGAATACCTATACAACTCGCATTCATTGTTTTCTCAGTCTTTTATGATCACCTGTATTCCCGTACTCTTCCAAATACATAATGTTCCCAGTTCCTGATGTGGGTAAAGCGAAGTGGTGCCCACTATTTCCTTCATTGAAACCAGCTTCAGCTCCCTGAGTCCATCCAATGTTACTATAGATGAAGTTAGCGTAGGTAGAATTCTCAGTTACGAAGAAGGCAGCTTGGAAGGTGTTTGTGTTCTGAACAAAGAATTTTGAAAATCATAACAATATGATAACAATACTTCTTCAGGTAAAGCATCAGCATTCAATGGCTGCATCTTCTCCCACGTGACAATGACAGCAGACAGAACCTATATTTGAATAAATACAATTACAACTGTTTGATTTGATCACCTTGACAATCTTGTCATACTGATAGCGAATTTCGCTTTGTCCGCGTTCAAGTGCTCTTCCCTCTGAAAACGAATAAACGAATAAATGAATTAGAAAAACGTTGATGAGTTCGATGATCAACCGGCACGCATGAAAACAACAGTAAAAATGGTTTCGTGGCAAACAACCACCAATTAGCATATGTATGCCCCATTTGATATTCGAGCACGGTTTGTACTAATTGGATTGAATTCAACTCACTTGTAACTTCGCGATAATAGACATGTCCGCCTGTACGCAAGTCATTCCTATTCCAGAATGGAGCAATCATACGAGCTCCTTTTGGAAACACATCCTGTTTGTATGTTCGAGTTGAAACATCAAAACCAATGGCTCCATTTGAAAGAACCTTGAAAACCGAATAAGAATTCTGTGAGTTCATTCATCTCTTACATATATAGTTTGATAATCATTTCCATAAAACTTCAAAGCCTTCTGAAGATCTAACTTCTTGCCTATATCCAATCCTATTGGCAATTCAGAATCGCCAGCATTAGCTCCATATTCGAAGAGTCTCGAAGAGAAAAGAGGAGCCGTCACCTTAATATTTCATTTAAATAATTTAGCCCTTGATAGGATATCCTTGAAGGTTTTGAAACGATGAGAAGACAGTCGGAGATTAAACTTAACAAGGCAGATTCGTTCTATGATAGAATCCCGGCTGTCATATTCATGTATATCTTGGCAAGATCATCAAAGATCTGACCGGATGATCGTTTTCGATGTGTATTCGATAACGTTTTCGAATACAAAAATGTTTATGAAAACAAATGAAAAGACTATACCTGAATGCTAATTTCCTTTGGTTGTAACTGTCGTCGTCCACGTAATGATCGTTCCAGTTTATCGTTTTCAATTTCCTTCAAATCGAGAATAAGTTTATAAAAACATTTTGATAGGAGGTAGTACTTGTTCAATTCGTAATCGAGCAGCTATTCGTTCAGGATCTAATCGCATTGTCACTATGAATGGCATAAGGGACAGCAGTATGGCTGTCAACCTCATGGTGAACTGAAACGAATATGAGTTGATGAAGGTGTTGGTGAACAAACAAATGCTTAAAACAAGGTTTTGCCATCTAAAGAGGAGAAAAAGAAGTGAAGTGGCTTACAACTAAATGTCAAGTGATGGTTAAAATCAAAGCTTTCCCATTGCTACGAAATATAATATTCTACAGCATATACAATACAAATGAGTTTTCTCGGGCTTTCCAATAATATAAAACCTTATAAGGTAGGTGTTGATTTTGGCAAACAGAAAGAATAAAAGAGGCACAGAGAATGAATAATAGAAGGAACGTGAGATGAGAGGAGGACAATCCGCCCGGTCATGACCCCTAAGACTGGCTGTTCAGAGGTGGAATGAAGATTGGGTGGCGTGTCTATGTGTGTGGAAGCCAATGGCTCAATTATTCTCAACGAACATTCTAATTTCATGTTGAATCAGAAAAGAAACATTTTTTTTTCTCGTCTAAGCCAAAGAACTCAAGGTGGTTGAACAAAAAATGGTTTGAACTGAGATTATCTGGCAGAATGAAAGAACATGGGAGGACAGTTGGAGGAACAAACAAACAAAGAAATCCGTTTCGAACGATCTAACTGAATGAGAAGGAATGTATGTTGTTTGGAAATTGAAGCAACTGTATTGCTTTGGAATGCTTCAAGATATTCTTGTGAATGGCGGACGAAATTTCAAAAATACAAAATGATGATGATGAGCTAAGTGGTGTAGGTGGATAGAGAGACAACAAGTAATGTAGCATCTAGCAGCATCAAGGAGAATAAGATGAAGAAGGAGAAGCTAGTAGGAGATGATGAAACTGGTAATTGAGAAGGAAAGGCAAGAAGACACAAAATACCTGGAAGGAAGAACATCTTAAGAAAAAGTTTCGAAAAAGGAAGTTGTCGACGACAATTGCTATGAAGCAAATTGTATTAGCACTTTGTTGCCGGAGGGCGTTTACCTTCTTAGGGAAGGAAAGAAAGAATAAGATAGATAGAGAGAGAGGTAGAGAGAAGCAAGTGAATGAATGTAGATATCTGATGAGATTTTGGATCGTCTTCCATTTAAAGAGAAAAGAGTTAGATAAGAGTTCTACATGTGGACGAGGAGGATGAGGAATGTTTGACTGCAGACTAGAGCAAATGAGGTCAAATATGTTCGTTATCCATATCCAACATCTTTAAATATTCCAAATAACACATTTTCAACAACAAATGAGGAAAATTGTTCTGAGCTTCCATCATCACATCCGTTGTCTCATTTACCGTATTGTCAGACATCATTATGGTTCTCTAAGAATGATGGACAGGACCTGTCCGGAGATAATATTTCCGGCTTACAATAATCATTTAATCCAATCCACCTAACCATATAATCTGCGTAGTGAGGCAGATTGGAAAGCCTCTCACAGATTTGCATAATAATAACGTCTTAGCGTAATGTTATTCGTTCAAGTAATGTTGAAAAGAAAGAAATCGATCAAATTCAGATGTACATTGGCTGACTGTAATTAAGTGAATCGACTGTATGTAGAGAAGAGGACAACGACGTCAATTCGACAGTTGAAGACGAAAAGGCGTCGACGAACGGGCAAAAGACGGGATAAGAAGCTCATTACAACAGAATTGTTCGAAGTTGAACTGACCTTGTCAGTTTCAATGACAAACAAAGTCGAAAAAATAACAAAAAAATAGTTGAAAATGATGAGAAAATGGAATAAATTAATTTGGGATGAGAAGGACGAGAAGACGGTTGATTGGGTGTAGCGAGATCAAGACGAGGGCGGCGGCTACATCGATGACGACGAAGAAGAAGACAACGACGATGAGGATGAGGACGAAGAATATTATTAATGAATATCATAAAAAATAAGTTCAAAAATGAGTGATCACGTCCTGTCCCATATAAGGAATGAGATCAGGCAAACAAGAGATGTTGTCGTCATCATTACTGTTGAAACGAGAAGAGGAATGACACGACTGACGACGACGACGGTATTGCTGATGAAGCAGTCGAGAGGAAAATTCTGAATTCTCAAGCAAAAAAAAACAGCATCTAAATCAACAAGATTCAGATGAAATGAATACAAGGAAGGTCGTTGAAGGACGTCAACGTTCTTCATTTACTTAGAGTATACGGAATACTTTCTACTTGCATCTATAGGAGGAGCAAATGAACTGAAAACGAACAATGTGTGGGAAGATAAGGAAAGAAAGGGCTTCTGATTGATTCAAATCAAGCTGTCAGGATAGATGATGTCAGAACTATAAACTGGATAGACTATTAAGCATCTTAGAGATAGAGAGAAAGAGAGAGAGAATAAGAAGAAGACAGTAAGAGAAGGAGGCAAAGTGCGGTTACTTCTTTTGACTTGAAAGCGGCCATCAGGTTTCTTGACATTTTCAACAAAACCTTTAGATGAGGACGGATTGGCTAGGTGTAAATCAAAGAAGATTTAGAGAGGAGATCGCAGCATGAGTTAATGAAAGAACTTTCCCTGAACGCATTGTACTTTCTACTACAAATCATAAGATTAACGAAATACAAACTGACAAGGAGCTTCTTAGCGAAGAGAAATCATAAAGAAGAAGAATGACGCAGCTTCTCCAACTACAACAACTACTAATGGGTTACGGTTGATTGAATACTTCAATAGGCATCAGATAATGAAGAAGCCAAAGGTGGAACTCATGCCGAACAAACAGCTTCTGAACAAATACGAAAATTTCTTTTTTTTCTTTTGCTTCCAAGAAAATCTCAAGTAATCATGTTATTCCTGTCCCTCTTTCATATCTAATGATCGTATAAAACGAAATGAAAAAATAACCAACTGATGAGACCTGTTTGATCCGTTGGTCACTTGTACATACACATCGTCGTTCTATCATTAGTCTCGTAATGAGGAGGCTCAAGTCTAATGTTCAGTACAAGTTTGAGGTACAACACGTAATGACTAGGCTGCTAACAGATGGTCTACGAACTATATTCAAAAAAGTAGGAGTTTAAGACAAAAAAACTGTCTCACGAGTGGCATGCAGGGGCTTTAATTAGAGAGTGGAAATAGCCTGTAATTACAGTCTACAAGGGCATCAAGAAAGTACCAGCGGAGAATAGAAGCTGGCTGTCCTTCCGTTTTAATCTCAAAACCAAAAAACAAAAAGAGAAAAAGAGAGGAACAAATAAATACATCAAATAGATATATGTAAAACCATCATCATAACACATGTGCCTCACGGATGAAAGAAAAAGGAAATGAGAAAGCTGTGTCTAGTGGCTGTGCGAGGTTCAATGTGGTTGGTGACGGTCGGTCGGTCACCTATGACATCCGATTCATATAGACCAGCCTCATATATCCCTCAAGAGGTCATCATGGCAGTAGAATGCATCGAATGCCGACATGTTCGTCATAATGTCCATGAGCATATAGGTAATCGGTGGTTATACAAGCAGACAGACATTATTCAAATGACCGATTGACAACGACCTATGAAATAACAGAAGCCAGGTGGTGAGTGTGTGATGACTTCCACATCCTCTCAAAGTCAAATATAGTCAGTTTACAATACTTCCTTTTTCATATCTTTCACTCTTTGAATCTGTCTTCAGTTCCTCCATGAAACGAACAAGTCGAGTCTTAGATGAACAACCAGTGAGGTGGAAACTTTACAATTCACTTGGTTAGACTGGAAGCTTCGATAGCAAAAAGTTTAATTTCTGCCGCTTACACACAACTTGTTTTGAAAAATTGCAGGAAAAAAGAAAAAAAAGAATTTGAGAAAGCTGAGTTGAGTTAAGTAAACGAATGAATCCAAATAAAGAGGTCATGGACAGAATCTACAAAAATTGAAAAAAAAAGAAAACGGTAATAATTGGCGAGAAATGGATTGAAGACGATGTGAACAGGAGAGATTGAGTGAGAAAAGGAAAAATTGAAGAGTTATGAGGGTTACACGGAATGTCCTCTGAAGAGCTGATCAAGTGGAGAAAAAGGAAAATGGTAGAAGGACATTCAATGGACGAAGTAATTAACCAGCGAAACACATTCTCTACCTGAGAGGGCACGCACACACAAACACATCTATATCCATCATGCAAAAGAAGAATAAGAAGAGATTATTTATAAATAAAAGTATTGATTAATGAACGAATGCCACAAAAGGAATTTTGCCATCAAAGGTCAAGGAGGCTCAACAGTGATATCTTCATTTCCGCCCACGACGACCAGATATTTTTGATTTGACGGCTGTATGAGTATGTGTGTGTGTGTGTGTGCATGCATGTGTATGGATGTGTGTATAGAGAGTTGAGAGAGTGAGAGAAAAAAAACAAAAAAAAATAAAAATTTCGTACATTCAAGCCTAATATGGTAGATGAGATATTTGAGTGAGAATTAGCATATTTTATGTTATCAATCACGATGTAAATTGCATAATCTACGTCACCTCCGTCACAACACCGAATTATGGTGAAAATTAGTTTTTCATCAAATGAACCCAGAAATTTCTGTAATCTTCGACGTCACATTACTTAGTAAATTATATATTTTTTATAGATAAACGCATATAATTATTATCACACGTTATTACTGTAATTTTCCGCTCGAAACTTATTTTTTCCTCACTCCTGCATAATTTAACTTTTTATTATATAATTAGGCTTGTACAATACTCCTTTATAATGAGCTTTCTATCTCTTCTTTCAATCACTTTCATATCAACTACCACACCGTGTAAGTTCTTCTTCCTACATTTGCCTACATTTGCATATTCCTAATTTCAATTATGTAATTTGCATAAAATAACTCATGACGTGACTCTCACGTAAAACTTGCAAATCATTTTATGCTAACTGACGTTGATGAACGGTTCTGCTCATTTCTATTCCATGAGTCCCATCCACCCTCCCTCGCTCCCTCCCTCTTTTTACTCTCTCCCTCCCTCCCTCACTCTCCTTTTTTTTCTTATTTTGTTTCCTCCCTCCTCCCTCATTTCGAGTTTATCTCTCTTCATCATCAGAAACTCTCCTTTACTTTATTTTTTCCCTCCCAAATATCTCCGGCACTAAGCTGATTGTTCAATTAAATATCTTTGCAAAAAAATTAAAAAAAAAAAAAACAAAATGTCCGGTGCAGTCAGTCACCACACACGTTGCTATTGTTGTGTCTGTGTTTTTCTTTCCTCACACACCGCTCATCATTTATCTTCGAACAACTTATTAACGCATTTCCATATGTCGCAGTTCTTATCTCTCTCTCTCGCTCTCCCCCGCTCTGTAAAGACATGTGTATGTTCAAGAGAGCAATTGAGAAACGTTTAATTTAAGAAATTTGCTTGATTTCAGAGAGATTTCAATTTATTCTGTAAAATCAGAAATGTAATTCAATTATAACCACCCATTTTCCCAATGTAAGAAATCATGTTCAGTCGGTGTGCCCCAATGCGTCCGTCGTCTATGAGTATACTTATCGCCTTTAAATTCTAAAAAATGGTTATATAAATCCAAAAATAAACAAATTTTCGAACGTAATCAAATGGAATTTTGCTCTAAAAAGAGAAGGCGATGTGAGAGAGAGAGAAATGCTTGCAACTTATGCAAAACATGACGTGTGTGTGGCAATCAGCCTAAAACGAACACTGACCAATCTTTTCTATTTCCTTCTTCTTCTTCTTTCTCATCGTTTCATCTCTGTCTACCTGTCAATTTATATATATGATATAATTTAATCTTCCTTTTTCAGAAATTTCCAATTCATAATCGATTGAGGAGCACTTTGATTAACTTGATGTTGTCCATTTTATATAAAATCATCTTAATATCAACAATCTTTCTAATCGTCTCATCTTTCGATCATCATCCAACCATCAACTTCCATGAGCAACTTCTGAGGTTGCAAAACACGTATCCTCGTGAGTTTTTTGATTCCTTCAACTTCATTTTTATCTTTTTTTATTTTTTGCTCTCATATCCTTCCCATCTCTAATTCACACCACACACATGCACACACACATGCACACATAAACACATACCCTAATCTAAAATTATTTTTTTTATTTTAATATAGAAAGGTTTCTTACTTTCAGAACAACAATTTCCAGTTGAAAGAGCCCGAAGAGTTCAATTCTTCAGATTGAAAGATGATTTACTGTCACCTTAGACGTTATTTTCATCAAAATAGACATTCTATTTTAAGATGGCAAACGGTCTGAAATAAAAAATAAAACCAATTCTACTCCCTCTCACTCCCTCTTCTATCTGTCTGTCTCCCTCTGCTATTGTCTCTCTCCTATCTACTAGTCTTTGCAACTGATGTCTGAACTCAGTGAAACTTTCCCAATGAACATACTTGATTGTTTGATGATTTCTTAGATTCCTTGATGAAACTTAATTAAATTTCTAAATTAAATTGATATTTTGCTTAAAAAATAAAAATAAATAACAATAATTTATTGAATTGTCTAGAAAAAAAAAAGAAATAATAACAATACTGACACACACGCACCCACCACGCATGCAGACTGGCAAGCAAGCAGGCAGGCAGTCAGTCAGTCAGATAGAGCAACATGTATGTACAGAATAATACTCTTTGACTGACATACAAGGGAAATATTAAAAATCGAATGAATGTTACAGACTATTCCAGACATCACGTCAATCAATTTATTAGAAAATTAAAAACAAAAATTATTGTTTTCTCAGCTGACTTTAATACTCAAAACTCTACAGAAAACCAGTAATTTATAGAAGGCAAATTATTTTAAATCGTTGTTTTTTCCTATTTGGAAATTCCTTTTTAAACAGAAAACGCTTGAGGGAAGAAGGAGGAGGAGGAGGGGATATGATAACCTGATATTTGAAAGTATTAATAACTTCTCGTCGTCACCATATTCATAGTTGGTGGCTTCAGAAACCCATCATCTTCTGGCTGAATATCAGCTGTTATGAAGCATTCATCGGATATTTGTGATTCAGGTGAGCAACTACGAGGTGAGCAACCTCTTGAAATTGAAGTTCGAGGTGAATTGCCTTGAGAATGAGATAGGTAAGTCTTTCATATTCTATTCATGTTCTTATACCTCTACTAGATCCCTTGAAGCTTCCTGGATCAGCTGTGCTATCAATAGATCGCTTTTTCACGCGTTGACTACCATTTGATGAGAAAGAATTCGACGTTCTACGTATCCTTCTGACCTCACCATAGAAACCATCGCGTACCGATGAGAATATCTGAAATAGCTCAATTCATACCGGAACTAGAAGTACAAATTACCATGGCTCCGAACTGAGAGAAAGCATGAGTTGTTGTATGAGCTTTATGGACTGCAGAATCCAGATGAGTACATTCCTATTATGAACAAGAGAGTGGGCAGAAACTTTATTTACAGTTATACCTGAATTGTGGCGTCAGCTAAAACAGCAAAGAAGTCTGGTCGAAAGCCAAGTGAACGAAGTTCAGCGAACTTGGCCCCGAATTCCTCAGAATGCCTTTGAACCTAAAGTACTTAAGCTATTCAAAGATGGATTTTGGTTCGTTAGAGCACAGCGGAATGCAAACATTCATCATGTTTTTAATCTTTACAGGAATTCATTTTTCATTTGAACAAGACATACCTCATCTACGAAATCAATGTTCGTCACAACTTTCTTGAGCATTATCTTAACATCATTCTCGAAATCATCTCGTTTGCTTGCTTCCATGGACATGTAGAAAATACCGAATTCAGGTCTAAGAAACAAATAGAGGAACAATACAAAGGAACTAAAAATACTTCAAATCACATGCTCGCTTCATCACTCGTCTACCTACAAGCTCATGTGGATTGGAGAAACAACTCTGAAGAATGAAATCATAAAACGGTATTCAGCAAAACAATAAACTCACTTGAATTAATCTGCGCATTTTGAGTGGTAATGGATGCCGTTGTTGACTTCCACGACTACTTGCTGAGCCAGCACGTCCTCTGTTAACTTCTGTCGCATTTTCAACGCTTTCTACAATTAAAGTATGTATTTGAATATTATAAATAGCCACTTACTATACATTCCATCGTAATAGCTATGTGATCCAGGTAAGCGGATAGATGGTAATTTGCTTTTTGTAGAAGAGGAATGACGTAACTTAGATGACTCACCTCCCATATTCTGATTATGTGAAAGCTGAAAACAGTTATATTTGAATTGACAAAAATAAATGTCAGAAGAATGGTAAAGAACATCATAAAACATGATCTATTGGTTGAAACTAGAAAATCCCATGTCGGAACGGCATGACGAGAGTTTAATATGTATAAGAGAAAGCTTAAGAAAATCGTTTTGAGCAAGAAGTGCAATCATTATAATGAAAGATGCCTTGTGATGAATAGCATGAACGTCATAGGTTAAGAGAGAGATAGAATGAGAGAGCGACTTGTATGAGTATGAGAAAGGAGTTGTTAAGCGCTCTCAAACATATTTCGAATCATGATGTTTTGTATGGAATGAAAGTTATTTTCCACATGAAATAAAGTAGAAGCAAAGCAGATATAAAACTGCTGGTATAGATGGAAAAACGGAGAAAAACGTCTGAAATGAAACATATGATCAGAAATCTTATATTCAGAAGGTTCATATTAGAGGATTGATCGAGTGTGAACACGGTCAGAGACGTTAGTGAAAAATTCAGAAGTTCTGAATGTGTGACGTCAGTGTGACGGTGAAATAACAAAAATATTTCGAAATGCTTGGTTACATTGAGCATAGGAAAACTTAATATTTCCTAAATATGTATGAAATTATATCATTTCAATATATATAATGGTTCATAACAATACATACAAAGATGAGCAAGTGCGAAACAGGCGGTTTTTGGTTGGCCAAGGATACCAAGTAAGTAACCATCTGCTAAATGAGTTTGATAAATATAGAAATATGAATGAGCAAAGGTTCGTTTTCCAAAAAAAAATCTCCTTTTCGCCCGTGCTACCTCTTCAACTAGTTGTAGTTGACGACAGCGTATTCCAATACTTATCTTCTGACGTCAGAGCATCAGATTCGTATAGCATCTCGTTTTCGAAATAGCTCTATATGGAGAGCTATAGAGAACATAAAATGAGAGTGCATGCAAGAAAACTAAGTAGGAAGTAGGAGAAATGCTGAAGATGAACGTGAGTAAGATGATCACAGAGCATTAAAGAAATCTTAGTCCGACTAGCAGGAGGAGGGAAAGTCAGTACGATAATAAGAGAATGAAGTAAGCATCTTCCAATGGACACTTGGACAACACAAAAAAGATAAAAAGCTAGACAACAAAAGAAACAGAAAACGAAAGAGAGTGAACGAAAACAACACATGAAGCACAAAATGTTCTATGCTATGATGGCTTTTTCATTTTGTTAAAAAAAGAAAGAAGGCTTAAACAGCAATTTAGAACATCCAATGGCTTTTCGCAAAGATGATTTGATGTTTCCAAGGCGTAGACTGATGTATTCAGTTAGACAACTACGTCATCTGAATCCCCACGACAACGCAAAAGCCAAAAGTGCAATATGGACAAAAATCATTTGCATGAAGATAAGTTTTGATTTTTGAAGTCCGGAAAAGTGTAGAAAATAAAGATGAGTGAGAGCGCACAAAAAGTGGAAACCTTCATTATTTATAAGAGAAATGCAGACTGATTTCTCATCACAATTTATATGCAGGAGATGATGCTGATGATGTAGTCGCTGAGATTTTCAAAAATATCAGAGGAAAAGGAAAAAAAAAGAGGAAAAAAATGGAAATGAGATAAGTGAACCTTGTCTACAACATGCGCAAACAAAATAAAAACGAAAATCACATCTTTCAAAATATATTGGAAATGCTAACACAGACAAAGCTGGCAGAAGCTTTGTGCATAAAGATGAGGTTCAATATAGGAAAAAAATATGTTGATTTCCTCTTCCGAAAATCTTCAAAATAGAAACAAGAACAGGTGGCCATTGTAATGAATAACAACAACGATATAGTGTGTATAGTAGAGTCTTCCTCACTCTTTCTCTCTCTCTCTCTATCACTCTTTCACTCTCTCTCCTTCTCTCTTAATATGTAGAAAAGAGATGATTGCATAAAAAACTGTAATGATATCGAAGAGAAATACGAATATGAGAGAAGAAAACGGCTTCTAATATGAAAAGCGTTTATAAGCTAGCAATTAAGTTGATTATGTGCTTGTATTGTAGGCGTAATTACCGCACGTCTCAACATTCTTCTCCACACTTACTTCCCTTTCAAAATTAGTTTGTAAGAGAGGCGTCTCTATTTATCTTCATGAAAAAAGTATTCAATCTTAGCCAAATGTATTAGTAGCATATACATATATGTATATATATATATATATATATGAGAATGAAAACTTTGAAGCTAATAAGAGATGTATCTGAGAGTGAGAGAAACCTATGTATACGACTACAAAGTATGGAGACATTGAAATCATCTATGTGGAAATATTGTTTCGTTTCATTTAGCAAAGTTACAAACGAAGGTTAATTGTGGTTGCGATGGAGAAAGAACATGATGGTCGCATTCATTTCATTATACGATGTTCACCCTGCTCACTCCAACAATCACTAGAGGAGATACCTATTAGAGGAGGCAAAACACATGGAAACGCTTGGAAACGACAGTTAAAGGAGAGAGATAGATGTTAGATTCTCAGAATTTATGACACTATGTGTGAAAAGTAATGGGCTTGTTTCCAAAAACATCTCTTTTAAAGTAAAAGGAAATGAGTCTTGAAGCTACCTCACCAACTTCTATTTCCCATAATAAAGCAGGAAAATATGTGTGAGGATTCTATTAATATAATATAAGAACAAGCTTCTATATTTTTAACATCAATAGAGAGAGAGAGGGAGAGAGATAGAAAGGGAGTAAAGAGACAAAGAGAGAAAGAGAGAGAGAGAGATATGAAAAAATTGGAAGCCAAGTAATGGAAGACAACGACGACGACGACGACGACGACGATGTTTCTTGCAGTATCTGATAATGACGTGAGAAAATGTGTATGAATTTGAAAGCCGTTCAGAATGAAAGTCATCTGTTCAGAGCTTCGAACGAACTTGGTCAACTTGCCATTCTCGGAAGAAAGCAAGTACATCGTACTCCCGAAATAGAAGAAGATAAAACGGACCAAAGAATAGATGTGAGCAAGAGAAATACTAAAGACATGGCGAAAATAACAGACAATGTAAAAGGAAGGAAAAGCATTTAGAAATTAGATGAGCTTAAACCTTAGACAAACGTCTTACATACAAACATATATATGAGGAAATGTCAAATAGCAAAACATAATGTTTTCCATTAACTAATTACTTACTTTTTTTCAAAAAATATACATTAGATATAAAGCATATGATTACATACAAGCCATCTCCAAATTTGGAACAGACGTTCCATGTGCAAACAAATAGCTTCAAAGTAAAATGCTCCTCTACTTATACTTTTCACTATTTGAGTGACAAAAATGTCCGGCACAAAAAAAGTGAAAGAATATAAAGTTTATATGAAACGTTTGAATGAAATCTTTGTCTGAACTAGATGGAACTAGCTATTTGAAAGATTGCAGGAAGAAGCAGTTGAGAAAAAAGGAAGTATAAGAAGGAAATAAAATGAGTAGAGAAGCAGTAGCGTACAACCAATCTGAGCGTCTGCAAATTGAAACGAGAACAAAGCTGGAAAAAAGAATGCGTGAGACTGAAAATCATGAATAGTTGTAATAAATGTGAAAAGAGGTGTGAGCAATTTTGTGAATTAATTAAAAAAACAAAATATGGAAGAGAGAATATTCTTGGCTGGATATACATTCGTAAGTTGAAAACAAGCATAAACGCGAGCCAAAAAAAAAGCAATTTGATGAATGTCTAATGCTTACAAGATAACAAATTTCTACGAAAAGAAGTGGAAAGGAGAGAAGAATGAGAAAGGTGAAAGCATACTAAAAAGGCAATCTAGCCCGGTAATACACAAATAGTTCTAACGTAGGGCAACCTTTCAAAGCACAATGAGAGAGTTCACGTAGTGCTTCAGATTCATTTTAACAAAAGAAACTAAGCCGAAATAACTTTTATGAAAATCATATGATGAAGCCAGCATCTAATCGCTCATATGTATACATTGATCTCTTTCTCTCTACTTCGTACTATCTCTCTCTTTCTCTCTATATATCTCTTTCAACTCAACCATAAAGCCTCTTGCAGAGATCTTATTGCTCTTTTAATTTTCTTACACAGTTACCACCATTTCATTTAATGTCCAGTCATCCACTATTTGGATAAATAGATAGAAAAAGCATTTGTAACAGCTGATCTGTTTTCGTCTGTATTCCATCTATTTCATAAAGACATAAACAGTGAAAGATTAAGACGAAATAAGAGAAGATACCTTAGACTCAGGTCTTTCTCTCTCTCTCTTACTATTGCTCTCTCTATCTCTCTTATCTGTCGCAACTATATGAAGATATATATGACAAACTAGTAAACAACAAAAATTTAAACAGGACTCATCTCTACACAATATAGTAAAAATGATAGCTCAGAGTGAGTCTCATAAGTTTCGAAAAGAAATTCACAAGAATATATAGCGAGTAGACAACTAGCTGACACCTAGTGTGGGAATATAAATAGCATCTTCTCAAAAATGTATTCCGGGAGAAGAGTCTGAACTTGAAATGTAATCAAACAGTACTTTTGAGATTATTCTCAAAAACAGACAGAATCTCTAGGGGTTTCACTCGGGCTTAGTGCTACACATCATCGAGGAGAAAAGCCTATAAGCCGGAACTTTCCCACTTATTTCATGACTTTTCCAGATTTTTAGAAGCAAAAAAGGAAATCTTTTCATTAGTTCACATAAGTGAAAAGATCGAGAATCATTCATGCCTTTCCTACTCGGACAAACGTCATCTATCATATAGTTAATCCAAGCATATAAAGAATCTATCTTTTTTTCTATTCCTTTTGTCTTTTTAAATCTCAAGGCAAAGCTTGCTCATCAACAAAGAGACGTTTCTAACATCTATCTATATATATAGATATATATATATATATATATATATATTATATGTATATTCGTATGTATATATATACGTACACTATATATAAATATTTTGCAATCTGAAAAAAACATCTCTCATCTCTCACTATCATTATCAAGACATGCCATTTCTGAGTATTGACACTAGTACATATGATAGCAGTGAAACTATTCGGAAACAACTGATTGAGAAAGTAAGTTTCTCATTCATTCATTACTATTCTCATTTCGAATTGTTATAGTTCGCGGAACTCAACTATATAATCCATTTGACAAGTAAATTCTTAGGGATCTATCAAAACGCTGAGAAGCCAAAGGGCAATCTATCTACCATCCTTCACTCAATCAAACAAGTAAGCTTGAGAAAAAGATTTTTTCAAACTAATCTAACTAATTAAGGTATGGAGCTGCTTTCTATTATTCTTGTTATTTCTAGGATTCATGATATCTGTTACTCTCACGTCGGTAGCAGTGACATCATTGTACCTAATAGGGCTGATAGACTTCCTTTTCCTATTTTACTACAACTGGTCTCACTTTGAGTACCGATTCTTCCGCAGTTTAATGCACAGCTCAACTGGAGTAGGCATACTCAAACAGTTCAAAATGCTCAACAGAATAAAAGTAAGTGAACTAGAAGAGAAGCAAAAAAGCAATTAGAAGCTTACAGAACATAAGTATATTCATATCATTAGCAATAGTAGCGGCAGTATTACTATTAGTATCTCTCTCACTCTTCAAGATTTCACAGCCTGTACTCATAGACATGTTCAAAATTAACGACGATGTCATTCGCATATTCTACATGGCTTGTTTTGGAATAATTATGCTATCAACTCCAGCTGCCAATTGTATATGTTTCTTATATATCAGCCAAGTTATTTCTGAATACGAAATATTCAATGCAGACTTTGAAACGGATGCCAACACCTATCAGGTAGTTTTTGGAAAAAAAAAGCGTTTCACTTTGCTTCTCGCCTCTGTTTCCTACATCAGAATTGCAGATTGCAGTAGCTCGCCATTATGCTCATGCTCATAATCGTATCTACAAGAGTTTCCAAACTATAGAGAGACCAATAAGGTAGTTAGAGCAAGCAAGATTGCTATCAAAACAAAATCTTTTAGTTACTGGGTATCCTCACACATACTCATCAATCTAGTCATAGTATTAAAGTCCATACACTACCTCAGTCATATTCAAATAGATGAAAGAAATGCGATAACTAACCTTTGTTTGGCGGCACCGACAAGCTTCTACCTTGTGAGCTGTTTGTTCCAATCTATATGCATTTTATATGTGGCTCTCGACATCCGACATCAAATGACACGCCTGAAACAGTTGATGTTCAACTTGTTAATTGGTCAAAGAATTTTACATGACCAGGTACACTTACTCAATCTTTCAACTTGAACTTGAACCCGATTTCAGACATACAGCTTATGTATAGCATGTATTTCCCATTTTCACATTCACAAATACGGTATAAGCTTCTTTCGGTTGACAATTATTGACCGCCAATTCATCAACTTCGTAAGTTGTTTCGCGTAAGTGGCAGTGCGTACTTTGAACTTCAGATTTGCTTCGGTTGCTTTCTCATTCTTTTTCTCAGTGCTCATCAAGAATCCGGCTAGTTCCCCTTCAATAGATTTCTAATTAGAACATTTTATTAAAATTATATTTACTAGAGATCGTAAAACACAAACTAATCTTTTCACAAACAATCGTACCCTGAGTTAAATTGAAATTCGAAAGGCTATTTTGCTTTGATTTAAGCCGTCTGAATAAAAATGGTCCTGTTAGATACAGATATGTATAAAAACGGAAATGCCTCCTATATGGTTACAGAGCAGTACCATGAAGCTGTTAGGCGGCGATGAGGTTTTCGGAGGTCAATTGACGAATCAAATTCTGGTTGAGTTGGAAGTTTGTTTCTAACAGCATTGACCTATTCATCAACGTGAGCTTAAAAAAAAACATTTGTTAATCACAAGCGAAGTACAAATACCTTAGGTTTCTGAAGTTTGAAAAGAGGATGAACAGGAATGGGAATTCCTTGTTTTAGAATATCATTGACCATACGTTGAAGTATTTCACGTGATAGGAAACCAGCATCATCTAACTCTTCTTGAACAAGAATCTTCGGTGTTTTTGTTATCTGAATGAGGACAAAACAAGGATTAGTTTAACAGAAACCTCATACCAATTGAATGTTATCCAATTGTACCTTTCCACGGACTGTTCTTGAAGAAAGCTTCATCTTCATTGTAGCATCAATGTGAATCTCCATTTTTCCTATTGGTATCTCAGCCGTTTGTTCAATTGCGTTTATCTCGATGAGTCCAATCAATTGGAACTTAATGCCACCTTCAACTCGGGAAATGAACTCATTATACTGAATGCGAAATATACCTTGGCTTTCCGGAGCCACTGCGATAGAGGGTGCTTTGAGAGTAGAGAACAGGAATGCTACGCCTTTGTTGGGAACCTAATAAAAGCAATATCATGTGATTAACATAGTTCACAAACCATTTCTCTTAAAGTCGGGAAAAGATCTCCAACGCAAAACAAAGATCCTGTGCTTACGTCACAAGTGGTTCGCATGACGGATCCAAACTGAGCTGTGCTGGGATCAACTCTAGTATTGAATAAGCCAGTTCTAGAAATGATTTACATATAATGAATATTATCAATTCAACGTACTTATGGCCATGATACATTAAGGTGTTTGGAACATAGTCAGAGACAACTATTTGGAGCATTGAAGCAGACTGGCTTGTTGGGAGAACGAGGGCACGAGGTCCAAATGGTGTTGGCTTTCCTTTAGCTGCAGAAGAAGAGTTATTCTCGACTTATATGTTAAAACGCACAAGTTATTTCACCAGATGTAGCTATCTCCACTCCGCTGGGTGTAACAATTGGAGCATCCACGAGTCCATAATTCAGAATCAGGTCATCAGCACGAGACTAAACGATAAATCCTGATATATTTGTAACATTGATCATGTTTACCAAATTGAAACTGCTTAGAAAAGCATTCGTATTAGTTTGTCGGGTAAATCTGTTGTTGAAAGAATCCTCGCTGAATCCGGAGACGCGGGGAGCACGCACCATCAAACTGGAGAAATTTTTTGAAATATTTTGAAAACAAAAGAGATTTACGGTTGCTGTGCGGCCATTTGACGAACTTCTTGGGGTCTTTGGAACATCTGAGGTTGCATCACTCTTCTAACGATCATTCGTCCCTGGTTTGGTCGAACAACAAAAGGTCCTCGCATAACGCTTTGTCTCATGAATGTAGGGGGTCTAAGAGCATTTTCGAAATTTGTTAAGTTATGTTTATATGTAAATATCACCTCATCATCATTTGGGGTCGAGGGGGAGCATTCATCATATTTCTTGGTGGCATTACTGGGTGATTATCCATTGGTAAGGTGTTCTGGCTGATAGAACTGAAAACAGAATTGTCTCACAGAAAAACGCATAAGGCCGACTCACTCTTGTCTTGTCTTCCTTCTGAGGGCTTCATTAGCAGCAGTTAAGCTTCGTACAAGATCAAAATCTTTAGTGTCACCCAATGATATTTTGGTGGACAAAAATCCGAAACGTTGATTAATCTGGAAAAAAAAATTTATTTGTCATTTTATGACAACACTCTCACTCTAGTATCGATGATGAAAGCCAATCTCGAACACACCATTCGTTCCAAAACAGCCTGACCATCTTTGGAAATGGCATCCTTTAAAAAGAAATAAAAAGGATTATAATGTTAAATCATACAGCTAGTTTGGCACCAGTCTCAGGTGTTAATGCTTTCTGAACAGCCAATGTTACAGGAATCTTTTGGTTAACTGAACAACTTTCCAACTGAAACATAGAAGATTATTATTATTCAACCTAGTCCAGATGATACCTTGAGGTGAGGATTTCCCTGTTCATTTCTACCGATACGAATACTGACTTGTAATGAAAATTTGTTCGTTCTGATCTCTAAAGGTCCTTCCACAGCAACGCCGTCAACAGTACCATCTCCAACAGCGGTAACGCTAATTGATAAACGTAATTTGATAGCTAATGAAAAACAACCTTAGATTAATATTCTCTAACTGAACATTGATAGAAGAAGGTGCTTGAGGCTGCACTTTGAAGTTTTGTGATGTATCGAAAAGTCGGAGATGTAAGTTCGACAAAGAGACACTTGGTAGAGATGGTAACTGTAAAGAAGGATGCTCATTTTGAAAGTTAGCGTCCTGATTTGAAAAAAACAACCGAGCGCAGTGACGCTTCGCATTTAAATGAAAAGTTAAATCCACATGGGCGCCACGGATCACGTACGCAAATGTTCAAATTACGGAAAGACGCTTACATTTATCTTTTGTTGTTCAACCGGCAAATGTAATAGAGTAACTTCAGTGGTTAGAGCTTTAGCTACAATAGAGGATACATAAGATGTTCCAACTAACGTGAGCCTAGCTCGTACTCCCGGTCCAGACTTAAACAGTGTATGTAAGGATGTATGTTCTGCTTGTATGAATCTTACCAATGAAACATCTGGCTTTAATAAATCGTTGAGCACATCTATGTCTGTTTGTGTGTTTCCAAAATAAAAAAGTGAACTTAAACACGCGAGCTGAATATGGAGAATATGCAAAGATCTTTGAGATTTCAAACTCACAAAAAATATTTTCATAGTTTAAATAAAAACAAACCACAGTTTGAGATAAAGTCCGGACTGGAAGTTTGAAATATTTAATAGAAAGAGAGAGACTGACTAAAAGCTGTGAAAGGAAGACTATTTGAAGGATGGAAAGGTCATGTAGCAAGAATGTGGATGCGAATGTACTTGAACATCATTTGAGAATTGTTTTTTTAAAGAATCACTGATTATAGAGATGAAATGACGAATGATTGAAATGAAAATTGAGATGAAATGAGCCGAAAACAATGTGAGAGAAGTTCAGATTGAAGAAGACAAAAAGATGTTTTGTGTTTTGATGCAATTTATCTTTATATATGGAGATAATTTTACAATGTTACAACACGTGTATACAAAGGATTGCGAGAACAATATACAAATACATATGCAATAGCCTTAGGGGAGAAAGAAGGTCGGAAACTTGTATTGACGAGAAGAAAAAACAGTCAAAAACCGTTAAGACACTACCAAGCATCATCTTCTTGACGCCTTGTATGGAAATGAGCGACTTGCTGTTCCAACACACACAATACCCAAAAAACAATTAGGCTTCTTCTCAAAAGCTAACTATTTCTTAAGTACTTACAAGAAGTGCCTTGCATAGCAAAGAATTCCCAATGAGAGCAAAAAAAGTGACATAAAACCATTATATATACCCTTTGGCAAGTTTGAACGGTCAATGTCATTGTTCCATTGTGGTCGAATCAACGTTTAAATTAAGCAGTTTTAATAAACAACAAACATGCCTTAGAAGGAAATAACAAAACAACACCGAAGACGTTGGAGTTCAAAAGTCATAGCCGGCAGATTGTCATGGTCTGCAGATTTGGATTGATGAATGAGCTTTTTTTTGTTTCCAAATGTTCGTTCGAGGGAAAAGCAGAGAGCGAGATAGAGAGAGGTGATTATTGTCTATCTGTCTCCGAACCAGATCCTCTATTGTTTTCTAATGTTATCTCCTGGCTGGTAACCCGTAACTGTCCAGAAACCGTTCGAAATGAACCCATCGAAAGTCTTTCATAAATCGAAACATATGATTTTCGGTAAAAAAAACAAAAAAGTTGTATGCCTTTTGATGATTATGTAGTACATCGTTGTTCTTTTTATGGAAAGACTGTAAAAACTTCCCATAAAATTATGCTTCAACAAAGACGAATTGATACAAAAGATGGGCCGTCGTGCGCTATGCCTCAGACTATTACAAAACAATTGGGAATATGTCCAACTTGGGCAAACTGTTTTATAAACCCGTTTTGATTTTGTAGATAGTCGACCCAAATAAAGAGAAAATAGAAGAAAGCAATAAGAGCGAAGAGAAAAAGCACCGAAACTAGCCCTGTCTCAATTTTCTGTAATAGCCATTCAGAACATTATTCGCAACAATACCAATGCCTTTCTTCCACTTATGGCAGAAGTTCCTTGACTTCGCTGTCAAGATAGATGACATCCCAAAAAAAACCGTCAAAGCAATTCCCACGTTACAAGGAACAGAACCGCCTTCTTCTTTTTCTTTTTCTTATATGATTCCGACCACCCGTTAGCTACATAAACGAATGCTTTTTAAGATGATGACGTAGATACAATGGCAGAGTCCGTCTGGTCTTTAGCGCATAATAATTTCTTCACCGACTTCCACTACAAAGAATATTTTGAGAGATCAGACTGATTACACATGAGGCTTACCCAACTCGCCAAAATAGCGATAAGCTTCCGGTCTGCCGTAGTATTGATTATAGGATCCAAAATCATTGCTAACAGCCTAAAATATACATTAATGATATCATTTCGTTTGATAGCTAACCAAACGATTGCTGCAATACTGGCCAGGATTTCAACTTGAATAAACAAACAACTGTTCAAGTAGGTTTTGCAATGGGACTTTTTACCTTCTCCTGAATAGCATCATTCACATTCCTTTCAAAATATTTGCACTCACCTAGTGAACTTAGTTTTTTCAAATTAGCCAATGCCACAATGCACACTATCAGGATAGGAACAGAACCAACTGCGAAAGTAATCATGTTAAGACTCAAACGGTTCATAGCCCGTAAGCTGGAGGAAACATGACTATCAGATGAAATAACAGTCGACTATAATCAAAGTTCAATCGAAGCCTTATCTCATCACTGACCTGTCTTTCTATAGTGGCTTTATTATGTCTATTTCTTAAACGAACCCATAGGAAAGCATAAATTATTTGAACAGAGCTAAACCATATGGCTAATGAGATCACTGAAAGTACAGAATCAATAGCAAATGACCGAACATTACTAACCAATAACTATTGACAGAGGTTTTTGACAACTGCGGAATGAACATTTCACAGGAGAGCTGTCTGGATAGAACAACGTCGCACCCCATAATCCAACACAAACCTGAACAAGTCAGTATTCCAAAATGATATCTTTTTTCTTTATTAGGCCATCAGAGTTAAAAAGCATTAACTACCAGGATAGTTGTCTAGATGAATGTAGTCATCATTAGCCTGGTTGTAAAGAGGTCACAAAAGAAAACCATAAGATAGTGCAGCGTATTTGATATGCGTTCATCTGTCACTAACGAAAGCGCGTGGGTCCATGTTCAACACTCACCGAGGCTGCCAACGAGAAGACCCAAACTCCAATAACACAATAATAGCAATATCGTAGTGTTACATCCACCTTGTATACAATAGGATGTACAATGGCCGTGTATAACAAACAAGAGAGGGCGATGTAAGTTCCTTCATGAACGAAAATAAGAGTTTGATGATCATGTTGATACCTGCTATAGAGAGGAACGACAAGCAACCAACGAACATGAAAATCATTGCTGTAGCATACTGAAATCCTCCTGATTTCCAAACTATTATGACTATGTATAAAAGAATGAGAGCCATTAGTGTGCTGAGAGAGCGACTCAGCAGAAAACAATATCTCTTTCTATATCTGTAACAAGCAGAATGCAACAGTTTACACTATTTGATATCAACCCTGAAGATTCTGTTCGATAGGCTTTAATTTGAATTATTGTATATATGGCATTGAGTATGAATGCGATGACCGAAAGTACAACAGGTATGATGGCCAGAAAGTACGTTCGGAAGTCTTTGGCTCTATGCAATTCCTGTAAAAAGAAATTTCCAAAACAGTTCATTAAACTCATAAAAACCATTCAAAAACATTGAACTTGAACTCTTTTTGCTTTTTTTTGTTTGTTAATGCTTAAGCTGAGTGGTTTTTTCTTTCTGAATCAATTTTTGTTCAAAAGCAGACCTTCAGTAAATAGCATGGATCCAAGCCATCAGTTATATTTGCAATACAAGCTTCATACTTTTGATCTCCATCACGATAGTATTGTGGACAGCTTTCGAAAGGCCCAGTCACTGGGTACGTTACTCTGGCATTATTGAGAACAAACGCATTAGGTGCGAAAGTTTCATTGCTGCTGCAAAGAGAATAATCAAGTTTCCTACGAACAACTCACATGTATGTTCCATCGAAGGTTAGCACTTCCATCCCTTCAACCCATTAAAGTTCAAATTGGCTAATCTGAAAATAGCTTCGAGAAAAGAATGAGGACGTTTGCCATATCGCGAATAGAGAAAAGCTTAAAAAATGGTTTAGATCTAATCGGGTAATCTTCGACTGGTTTACTGATAGGCCGAACAGTTTTTCAAAACTCTCGCCAACTGATTAACGATTAACGATAGGTTGATATTGAAGCAATATTGAAATAGTGATACTATGAGTAGAGCAGGACGCATATCCCCACACTACAAGAAATACTATTTTAATAGTCTGTTAGCTGCCACAAAAGCAATCAACGTGTTTGTCAACCTAATCGATTGCTGCTGATAAGAGTTTGAACTTAGCACTTAATTGCGAATGTCATAGATCGAGAAATATACAAAGAATTGTTCTCACAATTAGAATCTCCTCCGATGAATGTCTCCCATATACCAACCTAAGCAGGAGAAGATGTGACTAAGAAATCGATTGAACAATTCAAGTCGTTTATGACTATCACTTATCTCATACGATTAGGAGGAGGAGGAGGAGTTTCTTAACACGTTGAAAGCAGACTTACTCATGGAAAAGCGCATTCAATTATTCGAAAAAAAAGAAGAAATAAGCCTATGAATAGATTTAATATCGAATTTTTCACAGAGAAATGCCATCACTTGTGTTTGTCGAACAGCCAGATTTCTCTGTTTGCTCTTTTAACAGTTTCAGAAGAAGTCGGCACTGCGACAACAGTTTCTTAACAGCCTATGCATAAAATCGGACGATTTCAAAATCAAAGCCGGAAAAAGGAATATGCGGCACATTAACAGTTAACAGACATAGGCAACTAGGGCAAGACTTGGAACACTCTGATTGAGGATTATATAGAGTGAGTAAGTATCAACTTTGTTTGAAAACCGTACTATAAAGATTAAAACTAACCATAAATATATGAAATACCATTTCACAATTCTGTTTCAACTGCAAAACATGGAATTACTCATGCGCTTAGCTAGCGGAATACCACAAAAATAAAAAAGGATAAAATAATTTTCAAAACTCACAAAAACAATAAGCACAACTAAATTAATCCACAGTAAAAGCCAATTCTCTAATTTCCCGCGCAAACACTAATTTTCATAAACAGTACATTAGAGCACTTTATCTGCTAGCATGCATGCAAACAAGAGAACATCTTTGATGATCTGCAAATGTTTATTATACTCGTCATAATCTCCTATTTTTGTTCATTATAGCATTTAGTGTTGGCAATCAATTCTGTTTATTTCACGTGGGCTAACGTTCGCATTATGCTAATATGTTTATAACATATTCCGTAGTACGTGGAAATAGCCGAATTCATTTCCAGCTTCGTAGACGCGCAGAACGGTTGTGTTGATCTTTAATCGAAGCGAAAATCTTGTATGGTCAACATTCATCATGTTCGTATACGATTTTTTTACTGTTTCGCTCTTGAGATTTTGTCTTGCGACAGACTATTGTAAATATTTCATTTCGACTGAATAATAGTTGATGGAACTAATTCTTCTAAAATACAGTTATCTGAATTCTAGTTAACGCAGTCTCGAGATTCTCCTGGGTATACTCCAGCAAGTTGAATGGTTCCAGCTTCGTAAATGTTCTTGGGGACCTGTTTAAATGATGTGTCTCTGACATTGAATGAGAAAATTACCTTGCCCTTGGTGATGTAGCGATCAGGAAGCTTGATTGTGAATTTACGTTGGCAGGGCTGAAGAAACATAAATTTTTTAAAGTTTCTGTTATATTCAAACAACCTTAATCCCGTCTTGACAGTCGTGATAGATGTTGAGCTTAGGGTCAATGCTGGTAACTTCATCGGTATGTCCACTGATCTCAAAATGTCCTTGACTATCAGTTTTGCCAGAAGCCATCAGATCATCAGCATCGATTCCTATGAAATTCTAATATTCATGAAAAACTCCAATCATACCTCTGTCGTCATCAAAAAGTTTGACTTTCACTCCCTTTGCAGGCTCATTGCCACACATAAGAGTTCCACGCACTCCAGAAGATTGAGTTGTTCCAAGAAGTGCAACAGATACGCTGACAAGCGCCAGCAGAGCGATAACTTTGAGCATTTCCTCAAGAAACAATTTCATAACAAATTCTATAGCTTTCAGTAAAAACAACAAGTGAGAAGGGCCTCGAAAATATATGGTGATAGATGACTTTCATATCACCTGCAAGCTATCATGACGTTTCAATAAACTGCTAAGTAGCTATGATTTGTCCTCTACGGATACTCCTAGACAAATCCCAAGAGAGATGAGTTGTACTTAGTTTTTTTATATAAAAAAAACAGTTTAAGACAGCATGAAGTTGGCAAATAAAAGTTAGAGAAAAGACAACTTAATGAAATTAGTTCCTGAAAGTTCAAAATTCTAGAAGGAGGAGCTCTGTAAACGCATCAGCTGTCGAATGATCAACCTTGCCATTACACAGGATTCATCCAACAACATGGATCAATTAAATTCCACCGTTTGAAAAACAAAAAACCTAAGATTCAGCTGTGAACTAGCAGAAAGTTTGGAAAATATGTTTATCAGGCATACAACATTCAAACTTCCATTGGATACACGTTTATCTTTGCTTGGATTTCAATACTTTTCTAAACCTTATGAACCATAACTTGGGGCCGGTTCTTACTGGTGCTACTGCAACCAGAAGTAGATGGTGGATGAGCTATTTCCGGAGCCTTAACTATCGGCATATCCGTCGCCGTAGTCAGCATAACTTTCTCCTGAGCCATCGTCTCAGGCCCTGAAGTAAAACGTGGTTATGAAGAGAAGAAGCACTGCCAAACCTTTGTGTTGAATGACAGCTTCTTGAGGTACAATCTCAATGTTCTCCACAGAACGCCGTAGAACAGACCCTAGAAATAAAGAGATTACTAGGGGTTCGATAGTGATACCTACCAGCTCGGTGCGAGAGAAAAGCTGATGACATTCCCTACTTCGTTAACCTGAACAATCTGTTGTATGTACTCTCTCTATAGATGGAGTAAAATGTGAGAAATGATTATACAATGGTGAATAAACGATAAGCGGATTTTCAGCTTGTCGGCATCCCCTCCCCTTTTGGGTGTAGACTTCTGCTCTCTCATATATCATATAAAGCACATAATCTCAAGGGACCCCAGGAAGATAACAGCTAACATGACGTGTATACATGAATTTTAACAAGTGGGGCTTTATGCACTACTTCAAAAGAACGAACAATGCACAACTCAAGTTAGCAGCGTTCCAACATTCGGTTGACGAGCTAGAGCTTCTATCTGACTTTTTCAGCAGCCTCCAAGTCTGTGATCAATCCTAATAAGTTTTGCAGGGACAAAGATGCTCAGCAGCCAGTGAAACAATCAATCTTAAAGAGATTCCCAAAAGAAAGTTTATTAAATTATTATTATTTATTGCAACTATATTATATTACACATGCAAACAGCGAAAACGTGAGCTGCAATTGTCGATAAAAACATTAACAGGGAAACATCCTACAATGCAAGCAAAAAATTATGCATTGTAACGAACGGATCCCAATCTCTTTCCGATGTTAACAACGTTGTTATACTTGGCTAAGTCGAGACCATCCTCGGTTCCGTCACTATTAATAGTTTAATAAGTATCTTCGAAAAGTATGCAAAATAAACTCACGTGAATTGATGGAACACATTAAGTCCACGCTTGGCACATTCACCAGCAACCTTCAATGGAGCAGGAATACTGATTGCCATATTGACAATACTATGCATGAAGCAGAGACCGTGGGTCATGCTCTCGACTTGGTCCATGGATAAGTTAGCATCATCCACAAGGATAGAGTACTTGGGGGTTTTGGCAGTACCCTAAACAAAAATCTTATTAAAGCAACATGCTTCTAATCGTTACCTGGAACGCGGAATGAGAGTTCAAGTAGAACTCGGAGACAGAAGGTGAAACGATTACGGTGTCAACAACAGTTCCGGGTGCAACGTTCTTATCAGCTGGGCGCTGAGATTGAGGAATGTCCTTCTTGAACAAGCGTTCGTTGTGGTCCTTACTAACAACCATAACAGTGAATTGAGGAGTATACTTCTCATTAAGAGATTTACAGGCTTTCTTGAGCTGATCCAGGTAGCTGGTACAGACCTAAAACGACCTCAAACATTCATATAATATTTATCAATACTCACAAGAGCCCATTGTCCTTGACTGACTCCGTTGAGATACAAAACAATATGACTTGGAGGAATCATGTTATTATTAACACGGAATTGAGTGACGACATATCTGGCCAAATTGTACAACTCTTGACCAATCATCTATAAATAAGCAGTCAGTCGAAAAATTGAAAGATATCTTACGTCACTCTCTCTTGGCTTGACGTAACGGTAATCTCCCAAGAAGTATTGAGGGTGCTTGGCATAGTTAGCTCCCCATCCGAGAACAGATGGAGTTCTATAACCAACATTACGAGCTCTTTCAGCAGCAGAAAGAGGAGCTGGATGAGAGAGCTCAATTCCGATGTAGAGTTTTCTTTGGTTAGGTGACAACGAAAGAAGATTTCTGCAAATACATATTTGTATGAGTATTGATGGAAATCACCTACTGGAGAGGCCCTGGCCCTGGTAAGACAACCGAGTAGTTGACTCCTCCTAACTTCAGATTAGTTTTGTTGACAACGTTGTCAAGAGTTTGATTTTGTCCTCTCTCAAGAACAGCGACACATTTGCTCAATCTGACTTCTTGGGTCAAAACTTGGTGCTGACTTCCTTGATATTTAATGAAGTCTAAAAAGCGATTCTATTCGAGCCTTCACTTTCTTTTTTACCGTGGAGAGCAACATTATCCGAAGAAATGAAGAAAACAAGTTCTTTAGCAGCAGTAGCAGCTTTAGTGATGATGTTGACAACACTTTGTTGATTGGTAGAGGTTTCACTAATAACTTCTGGCTTAGCAACAGACATACCAAACTTCTGCATACGATCAGCCAACTTTTTGATGTAAGTTCTGAGAAAACGTTATAAACCAACCATAAGATGATACTGAACTCACGCATGATCGAAATGTGCAGCATCCCTTTGATGCAAGAACAATACAACAGTCCATTTGGACAAACTGGCTGGTTTCTCGTATCGCATCAAGTCACCGGACCATTTCGCCTAAACAACAGTATTATCCAAAAAAAGGGAAAAAGGATTTTACATTATCAGCGGATTTCACAGGTTTGTTCTCTCCGAACACGATAGTTGGGCTGTTAAGCTGACGACCAGCAATAACGGCAGGCTCGGTGGCAACCGTGATACCAACATTCTTTAAAGCTGCACTGCCAGAGTTAATATTAAGAACATCTTTCATCTTGTGGCATTGGAAGAATCTCTGATCTGGATGAATAGCGCAGTTCTGAAACACAAAGATTTAAAAAAAAAAACCGCAAAAGCGCAGTTCTGAAACACAAAGATTTTAAAAACAGAAACATGCCTTGATCATCTCCTGCATTTGAAGGGGTGTTTGTTGAGCGGTGGTAACTCTTTGACTTGCACCAATTCTGAGAAGCTCAGCAGGGAAGTAAGAATCACGGCCTCGGAGACGTGTAACGATAAGAGGCAAATCAGGGTGCCTAAGAATAATGTAAGCGGCTCTTGTACTCATACTTACTTCAATTGAGAATACTTGCTTTTGTAGTATTGAGCAACAGTGATTTTCTTTCCATCAACGTCAATGCTACAACAACAAAATTAAAATAATAATAACATTTTTCTTACCTAGTTTCATTAGCGTTGTTAGTCAAAGAGAGAATTTGGAAGGATTGGGGTCTTTTGGTGTGAATCGTGTAAACGAAAAGACCCTTGATGAGATTGCGAACAGCTTTAATAGCAGTGCTCTGATCTCCTCTCTGGCTTCTAATAAAGGTTATCATTTTGTCCGAGAGCGGTTGATCATCGCCGTGGAAGGCAGTCTTGATGACTTCAACTCCAACGTATGGAGCGCATTTCTCTCCCTTTTGTCCCTCAACAACTTTGACTGCTTTCTTGGCACCAATTCCAAGATACTTTCCTTCATCAGCAAAGAAGTTAAGAGAAGCTTTACAACTGAAACTTGACAGTGAAGACTGAGACACAGTGGCTAACTAACTTGAATCCAGCATCTCTATCATCCATCAGATAATGACCAGCATTTCCGTAAGTCACCCACTTATCTCTAAAACGGAATCATAATAATAACTTCATTATGGATAACTAACTGGTTCATCAGAGCTTCTTGACCAAGGATAATGTTCAAGGCTTCGAAAATCGTAACATCTTGATCTCCTGGTCTTGAGCTAACAGCTTTGTTAACGTCGTTGGTACTGGTCTAAACATGGAAATGGAGCAGATGACTACAGAATTACAATACCTGATAGCCATCTTGACATTTCTTGAGAGCAACAGAGTAACCAATATGTCCATCGAAAGGAACGTTGGTGATGAAATCAGGAGCTAAGGTAAGCTCAACTTCCTTCAATTGCTCAAGAGAGAAAAGAATGGCCGCTCTATCATAGAATGAGGCTGTTCCGAAGACTCCGCGTTGTTCGGCACAGATTTTCTTGTAGATACGCACAGTACAGGATTTGCGGATCTGCTCGTTGTAGCTAGAATATTCGCAACATAATTTAACGAAGATCTCAATCATACTCGTCCTTTGTTTGTTTAGTTAATTCTTTTGACTTGTCATCTGGGAACAAAACGTTCATGCGGACGTCGTACTTGTACAGAGGCACATTTGGCTTCAATGCTAGAAAAAATTAAGATTACAGGCACAGCTGTTTGATCTAACTCAATCTCCACATATTGGTTTTCAGATTGCAAGTGGTTCCAATGGAACCAGGTTGCTTCTTGGGTGCAAAAGTGGCATTGCTTATCTAAATAATCAAATTGAAAAAGCTACAAAAGCAAGTAAGCAACTTGAAGTTGTTCGGTCTTAGCTGTTAAAGTCTCTGAAATAAGTTCAACATGAGAACATCAACAACATTCAAGAACTTACCCATGTTTCACCAAGCAACCTTATCCAAGTTCGTCAGATGCTGATGTTCTAATCCGTATGGTTGGGCCAGACGTTTTGAGATATCCCGCCCAAAATAAGTTTGATCTACAGTTCTTGGTGATATTTTAAAGGTCTAATAAGTTGTTTATCTTATCCAGTTGTATGAAATAAATATTTTCTGGAGATATGGTAATCACCAATTTTCCCACGATCGATTGACCGACCGGTGTTGACGATCAATGCAGTAAAAATGATTTCGCAACAAACATACTGTAGGCTATAATGCATTTTAATTTTTAACTGAAACTGAGATGGAGTCGGTTGGTTTCAAGGTACACACAAGGTGCACACAAGGTAACGTTGGAGATAATCCTTTGAAACTGCCAATTGTTTGCGTGATGACATCGGAAACTAATAATTTTCTCCAAATATTTCTATTGGCATCTGAAAATGTTTTGGAAAGCAACTTTAGCCGGATGATATATCAGTGCTTTAGCCTTATGTCGCTTCTCCCCCTCATTTTTGCGACCATATCTTTGAGCAAATCCCGTGAGAGTCAGCTCATCTTGAAGGAAGAAAACTAAGAAGTAGACAATAGCTTCATGTCTTCTTACTCTACTATGATACGTTACATATAATTATTTCTTTCTGTAAGATAATTTCATTGTTAAATCTGATAAGTGTAGAGTTCATTTGTTTACGGTCAGAGCCATTTCCCTAAATTTGTTTTTTTTTCTGTTACATTTCAAGACGAAGATTCCAGTAGCGTTAGAATGTGCATGGCTTGTTGAATACGTATCCTTATGCACATAACTTTCAAATCTCACATTATTGCTTGAGGTCTGAACCTATGTCCTTACCCAAACAACTACCTGCTTCTGCAGTCTATTTTGAAGTATTTTGCAGGCTAGCTGTTTTTCTCATCCGAATGCTTTCTATATATAGTGTAGTTAAAAGAAATTTTAAACTGTAACATCCATTAGTCAAACTGTAGACGTGAACACGAGTATGTTATTCTCTTTCTTCCGCTCACCCACCATTTGTCGTTGGCAATTCAACAAGATTTTCTCGAAGTGTTGTTCTGCATTGGGCACATTTAGACTAAGAAACGATGGCCCAGATTCTGGAAGAACATCCGTCTCAGCTTTGTATTTTCGTCATGCTTTGTTTCTCATGGCTTCAGCTTTGCTTTGTTTCTACTCACAGCTTCCGAACACAATCAGTAATAGACTCTACCGTTCAATTACCCTTTTCTGATAGAAATTTCAACCATTCATAGGATGCTTTTTGAACCAACGAACTAGTAGCTAATAGTTAGTCAAGCTTTCTGTCTTTAATGCATTCCCGATTCTTTCTTCTAATTGAGCTAGCCACCCATAGATTCTGTATCCGGTTTCTGAAGCAGCTTCCCCAAGAATATTTTTTTGGAAGAGCTAAATGTTTCATTGTCAACTACTTTTCAGATGTTGGTTCTTCATCATGCACCATCTCCTGTAATCCATGAGGAATTAGATAGATCGTTTGATTACATTGATGTCTCGACATCTTATATTCTCTCATGGAATGTCAACCAGGTTCAAAATAGCCATGCTTAGCCTCTCATGGAGTGTCCTTGATTTCTAGGATATAGATATTGAATGGAATCTTAGCTCAGTTACTCCAAATATGATGGATTGGATAGGCATTTTCGATCAGGGTTTCCTTCTTCCCGTTTTTACATATCGAATGAGTGTTTACAGATACTTCTGCTCAGATTTCCTTCTTAGATAGTCGACAAATCGGACTTGGCCTCTCTGGCTCTCTTAAATGGTCTCCAAATATAGAAGTCTTAAACCACAGTAGCTTCTACTTTGCGTAAGCTTTGTTTATACATCAATTTGAAATAGCAGTGGAACAGTTCAAAACCAAAGGTCTCCTGAGCTACAGCCAAAGCGTTTCGATATTTTGTTTTCTTCTATCACACATTATGTCACGCCCCGGTTTGTCCCCAGGGTTTCCAACTTTCCCAAATGTTTTTGAAACCCACATTTAACGAATGACAAAATAGCGGAAAAAAGGAAACTTCTCTTCTCTGCTGTGCATCAGTGTTAATTCGATAAATTGCCTAAATGCTTTTAGTGTCTTGGCCACCCTCCGCACTACGAAACTTCCTCTGCTCATATTTAATCATAAGTGCAAACTTTCCGTTTACTTTATTTTTATATTAATTAGGAGTTCTTAGTTTCAATCCATGAGTGTACGAAAAGTTCTTAGCAGTTCATTGTTATATCCTTGTTACCCCTACTAATGTCCCTTCTTAGAAAAAATTGAAAAACATCGAGCAGCTCCTCGAAAACAATTTAATTCCTGACAACTTGTTGGATTTTTGAGCGCTTGTTAACCTTCCAATGCCTAGCTCTGTGTTTTTTCTTTTTTTGGGCGCAACGTTCTTTATTCGTCTTCCCACCCCCATCCCTTGAATCAGAGCATCCAATACGTCAACGTTGTCCAGCAATTTGTCAGAATCCCTTGAGGCTATTTGCCCCGAAATTCTAAATCTTGCTCAGGATCAGCAATATTCCGCCTGGCTTCATTCATGAAAAATCTCCTTTACATCGTTTTTGTTAAATTTCCTTTATAGTTACATCAACGGTTTATCCGGTGTGGCTATTACGCGCTCTGCGCCTGTCTCTGTTACGGGCCAAGGCCTCTTCTACGTTAAAAGTTCGTTTCAAAACACTGCCCAGAAGTGCAGCTTTTGTTTCAGATTTGAGTATTCATGGAGAATCGAGAGAAATCACAGAAGTTAAATTCACTATCGATTATCATTCACATAAGTGCTCTGTTATAGAAAACGGAAACTTGAGGGAATTCCATGTGAGTAAGAAAAAGTGAAACATAAGCTGGAGCATTTACTATTGGCACTCGAAACTAACGATTAATGTTTCAGCCTTTTTCGTTGCCAATAGGAAAGATTCCTTCAAAGCCTCTAATCATAGAAATTGGAAAAACTCAACTTACAATTCCATTGCGAGACATTACCACGCTTACCAGGTCCGTTAGGCTCGTTTTATGGTCGTAAAGTAACTAAATACCAAATTTACTTCTAAAACTGGGTCTTATTAGCTTTCTAAAGCATCTGGGTGCACTCAAAAGCAAGATCGTTGCATGATTCAGAACGTTTAGCTGTCTGAAAGACTACTTACTAAATTGAATTTCCTCTCTAATTTTATTAAAAAATATGAGGTTGTCCGGGGACATGTATACTAGAGTCCTTCGAGTTCTTAAATCATTCACCACTGACTCATATTGCAGGCTTCCTTCTTGAGTCGTTTGACAACTTATTCATGTGAACGAGTTTGAGGAAGAGTCTGACATTAAAATAACATTAGAATTAGAGATGAATAGAGCGAAATCTTTCTGATGCCAAGAAAACATGAGCTTTGCTTGAATGAAAAAAAAGAGAAGATGAAATTGCCCCAAATTAGACTGGCTTAGTTATTTAACTCGTCTTGAACCATTGAGTCTAATTCAATTTCAAGCTGTTATCCAATTTTAGTTTCTCCCGTCTTATCATTTGCTTTCAATTTATTCCAACTTCGAACTATAGTTACCTGATCGGTTTCATTTCACTGTTACTTGAGTGAGCAAGCTTTTGTTTATTCATTTACTTATCCATTCAAAAGTTATTTATGAATTAATGCTTGTCTCACTAACACATTTCGTATTACTGTTCTTTTCTCATTTAGAAATCTCAATATTTCTATTCCAACTGGCCATCAAAGCAGCTTCACTGTTGTTTTGGAAGTGGAAGTAATGCCTTTTCTGCGAAGTCCTAATTCAACCGCTGTCAGTCCTTCCATCTCTGGGAGCTCCATGAGCCAAGCCAGGTAATTTGGCATTCAAATGTAATTTTCACTAATATATTTTGCAGTACATCCAGCTCCACAAGTAATGATATCGTAATAACGAGAGAATCACCTGTCTTACCCAATGGTTTTTTCATTTTACGAAACTGACCTCATCTAACAATTTATAGGATGGGAAGCCTGTAAAGATGAGAATGGGAGAATTTTTTATATTGACCATAAAACTAAGCGTACGACTTGGCGTCATCCCACACTGCCATCAACAGCGAATTTAAACCCAGAGTCGAAGAGGTATTATGATACATGAGGGAATACACACTAACAAAGTATTTACAGATACTCTATGGCACGGAGAACAATTGGGCTTTCACCCCCACCTTTTTGTTCCTCTTCTGCCCAATTATTCCTCCAACGGGATGACTTTATTAGTTTACTACATGAACATCCTGTAGCATTGGCCATGTACAATTCCTCACCTCTTCTGAAGCATATGATACATAGAATACGAAAGTGTGGAGATGTTTGCGAAAAGTTTGAAGGACAAAAAGATTTCGTTCAATTCGTGAATCATTTCGCTGATACCACTCAACCGTTGCCACCTCACTGGCAAGCCTCTGGCAAATCACCAGTGAGTAATTGAGCGTTTGTACTATTGCATTATTATTTTTCCGACAATCTTCATTGATCATCATGGACGAAAGACAACCTTGCTAGATCCCCGTTTACCCACGACATCGGCCAGTTCAGATAGGCGACGCGGAAAATCAGCACCTCCAATTCGAAGGCATCAGGTTTTTCAAAACAATATCTCTTTCATTGTGTTTGATGCATATTTAAGCTTGATAACAATGGAAACATGTTGGATATCGTGAACAGAACGAAAGAAATTGCTAGTGTGGTTGAAAAGCGAATGCCTGAATTGGCACCTAAGATAAGGAAAAAGCTAAGGTTTCGCTCATAATTGGAGAATGTTCAACATACGATAAGTCTCAGGCTGATAGAGAGACTCGGCCATTTGGCTTTGAGTAGAATGGCAAATGATGTTGATTTGATAATGGCAATTAGTATTCTGGAAGCGGACGATCCCGTCACGACAAGTGAAATGGAAGAGAAGCTTAATCATTTCTATACTTCACTACATCGAAGTGGTTATGGTAAAGGTCCCCAGAAAGTGAGGTGAGAGTTACAATATAAGATATATGAGCTAATCACTGTTATCTAGATTGAGATTCAGTCGTCAGAATCTATTAAAGGATGCATTCGAACAAATTCTAAATATTGATTCGACCCTTCTGAAGAAAGCTCGCCTGTCTATCACTTTTGATGATGAGGACGGGTCAGTGTAGGGATCTATAACTCGGCTCATCATAGAGATTTCAGATTAGATTATGGAGGGCCATCAAGGGAACTGTTTTTCCTTTTATCTCGGGAGCTATTTAACCCATACTATGGGTTATTTGAGTATGGATCTGTTGATCATTACACTGTTCAAATTAGTCCGAATTCAATGCTAGTTGATAACGATACGCAATGGTTTGTTTCTATTTTGTTTTCGAATTTCAATGATTCGATTCCAAACGTAAAACCATCAGCAAATATGATTTCAGGTTTGAACTAGCGGGTAGGGTATTGGGGCTCGCTTTGCTTCATAGATGTCTTATCGATACGTTCTTCTCATCAACTTTTTACAAAATGCTTCTAGAAGTGTAAGATGATAAGATGATACTGTTTTAGTTTTTTTGAGTTTAGTCCAGTGACATTACAAGATATGGAGCATGTTGATAAGGAGTTCTATAGAAGTCTTCTATGGATACGTTCAAATGCTGTTGATGAATCGTTAGAGCTAACGTTCACATCAACGGATATTGTAAACAACAAAGTAAAAATACAATTGAGAGGGAACAATACAATGTTTATTTGAAGGTTGTTGAGCATGAACTGCTACCTAATGGGAATGAGCTCAAAGTAAATGACAGTAATAAGGAAGAATTTATCTCTCTCATGATAAAGTGGAGGTTAGAAAGGGGAATAGAAAGACAGAGCAAAGCTCTCCTACGAGGATTACATCAGGTAAGATTACTTTTCTGCTGACTCAAGCAGCATTTCTCATATTTGTTTGCTCGCTCCCACTTTAGGATTTTTTTGAATCCCTTCGGAAAAAAACAACCCTTAGTTGTTTTATTTGTTTTTTTTTGAATATTCCTTTTAAAGATTATTGATCGTGATTTTCTACATGTGTTTACACCTGACCTTCTTGAACTAGTCTTATCTGGTACTGTGGAAATAAACTTGGATGACTGGCGTGCAAACACGGAATACAGGGTGAGTCCATTTAGAGTTAAGAATGTAATTGATCAAATCTAATAGGGAGGGTATTACGACGATCATGTAGTAATAGAGTGGTTCTGGTGTACGGTTGAGCAGATGACAAATGCTGAGAGACTTAAACTACTTCAGGTTTGATTTTCAAACTTTCAAAACTTTTTCGAAATAGTTTGAGTCACAATCCCCAAATGTTTTCGAAATATTTCGTCCCTCGTGGTAACCTTGGTGTCAGTACTTGAGTAGTCTGATAAACTAGGCGTCTGTATTTCATTAGACAACAGCTGTCTTTTGTCTTTTGTCCTTTGGTCCATTTGCCCTGTTGATCAAGAGCGCTTTTTTATAATCATCATTTTATCTTTCAAATAAGGAAAGCAAAGAAAACAGAATGGAAAATGCACGTCATTGATTTACGAAACTTTCTAGTTCCTTCTAATATTACAAATTTAGTTCGTAACCGGAACGTCGAGTGTCCCATTCGAAGGTTTTTCCATGCTAAGAGGAAGCAATGGATTGAAGAGATTTACGATAGAGAAATGGGGAGATGAGCTAAGTCTACCAAGGTTCTTTTACGACGAAAGAATATAATACTAATTCTCTCATTCTAACAGAGCTCACACATGCTTCAATCGTCTGGACTTGCCTAGTTACCCTACCCGCCATATTATGCGAAGCAAGCTGTACATGGCAATCAATGAAGGAATCAATTATGCAATAGAGTGAAGAAAAGAAAACAGATCTCAAGTTCTCCCAGCTGAAGTTTTTTTGGAACATTTATAACGAAGAAACTTTGTTACGAAATCTTATGAGAAGAGAACGCGTTGTAAACAGAGCTTTGGTCCACGATCCGCTTACTATAGTTCGTCAAAATTGTTTATTATTGGACTTCTGTTTTGATTGGAACAATACAGGTATATGTGTTTTTGCAATGGATAAAATAATGTAATGATTATTCATATTTTATAATAAACATAAAAATTTTTGTTAACTTCCGTATATGGTTCGTATAATGTAGCTGTGTGGTGTAGCAATTGGTTCCCAAGCACGTTGGGAGTAAATCTAGTTTCATTGCATTTCCGTTCAATCCACCATTCGTCTTAATAAAACCGTCGAATGTAAAAATATCTAAAATTATCTTCTTTTTCATCAGAATTGCGTAAAAGCTCTGGCCGATTTCGTCATGAGTAATAAGAAAGAGAGCGTTCCATTCACGAGGGGACCTGACTATCGATTTGTTTTGTGACGAACGAGTGGTGGGCGGAGCATACGCACAGCATTATGAAAGAGGAAAAATCCATTTCATTCCTGCCTTTGGCCCGTGCTTGCTTCGCTTATCATGTAAGACATCAACCTAGTCTTATCACTTACGTCTGTTTATTTCGATATATAAGAATTGATTCTGCTATCATTCTTACTTTTCAGCTCGTGCTTCTCATGACAGGAGGTTTCAGTCGTTCATTTTGACTCTTTCCCATTTAAATTATTTCTTAACATGTTCTCTTTCTAATAGCCAAAACAGGCTTCCTCCACACTGACACTGGTTTAGTTTGCATCCAATTTGAACCGGTTCTATTTTCCAGCTTTCACTTTAGGAACACTTCTACAAACATCGAGGCGATGACCAAATGAGCATTTTTGCTCGAAGCTTCTTAAAACTAACCGATTTTTCCCCCAAACAACTTACTTTATCAAAATGACTATTTCAAAACAATTGATTCCCACACCAAAACAATCTAGACGCCACTTCACTCGAGAACCCAGTATTATTATCGATTTCTAGAGAGTATGGCGTCTGTTTGTCTGTATTGACTCTACATCCTACCAGCCTATGTGCCCTCATCTGACCTTGCTTTTTTCAAAACGGCCACTATATCTATCCCATTCGACCTACTCTACTTTCCGCTCATAGTGCTCAGTTCAATCGAATGTTTACGTTCCGAGTGCACATTACCTACTAGGTCAATCTTAGGACATTCTTTCTTCACTCATAAAACCCTCGATATTTCCAATGTCCTTTTCGAACTCCTCAATTCTAAACTCAATGAACAATCGATCTCTCTCCAAAGGCTGCTCTTTTCGAACGACCAATACCCATGTGAGCAAATTAGCGCGTGATATTCCACGTCACACCGCGCGATGCGAGATCATTTTTAAATTCTACTTTGTAGCGAGCGGTCGAACTAAATTCTGACTCCTGAGGTATTATAATTTTTTGATCTAATTCTCGAATAATCGCGCAAGATTTGGAAAAAAAACGCGTAGACTATATAAGAATAGTTATTCACTCAAATTGTTAAGCGGAAGCACTTATTTGTTTGCTGAAGTTTTTAGTAAATATTGTTTTATGGCCGATCAATAGATCATAGAGCAAAACTAGTTGTTTTCAAACGATCTCGGCTATGCGACGCGGTCGCGAAGCGTCATCATCTAAAATCAATGTGTCTGGATGCTACTGCCTCTTCATTCAGTTAGAATAAGTGAATTTAATCATGTGATATATCTTGTTCTTATTCTTATTATTTTCTTTTCTTTTCTTTTTCTAATATTTCATCAGCTAATTTCTTAATTTACAGATGCAGATCTTTGTGAAAACACTCACCGGAAAAACTATCACTTTAGAAGTTGAGGCTTCTGATACCATTGAAAATGTGAAAGCCAAAATCCAGGATAAGGAAGGTATCCCCCCTGATCAACAACGTCTTATTTTCGCTGGTAAGATACTTTTCAAGAGAACTTTAAAGTAGCTCTGCTTATTCAGGCAAGCAGCTTGAGGATGGACGTACTCTTTCCGACTACAATATCCAGAAGGAGTCCACCCTTCACTTGGTTCTCCGTCTTCGTGGAGGTATGCAGATCTTCGTCAAGACCCTCACTGGAAAGACCATCACCCTCGAGGTCGAAGCTTCTGACACCATTGAAAATGTAAAGGCTAAGATCCAAGATAAGGAAGGAATCCCACCTGATCAACAACGTCTTATCTTTGCCGGTTAGTCTTATAGTCTAGATGAACAATGTTTCATCGAACTATTCCAGGAAAGCAGCTGGAAGACGGACGTACTCTGTCTGACTACAACATTCAGAAAGAATCCACCCTTCATTTGGTTCTCCGTCTTCGAGGAGGAATGCAGATCTTTGTTAAGACTCTCACAGGAAAGACCATCACTCTTGAGGTCGAGGCTTCTGATACTATCGAGAATGTCAAAGCTAAAATCCAAGATAAGGAAGGAATCCCACCTGATCAACAACGTCTTATCTTCGCTGGTGAGTTGGAAACAGAAACCAGAAGTAGTTCAATTTTTTTCTTTAGGAAAGCAACTTGAAGATGGTCGTACTCTCTCCGACTACAACATCCAGAAGGAGTCCACTCTTCACTTGGTTCTTCGTCTTCGAGGAGGAATGCAGATCTTTGTTAAGACCCTCACTGGAAAGACCATCACTCTTGAGGTCGAAGCTTCTGACACCATCGAGAATGTAAAGGCCAAAATCCAAGACAAAGAAGGAATCCCACCAGATCAGCAACGTCTCATCTTCGCTGGTAAGTTATTCAGTTCGAACAAACCAAACGATGGTTAATCAACTTGTTATAGGA